AAAAAAAGTCATCTTCTACTCTTACGGACATGGACCTTGAAGCTAATGAAACAAGCTTCATGCCCCTCGCTTGTATGCACTTTCACTAAGGCCCTTGAAAATGTTCACTTGGTTTATATATATCATACATTTTATAAAAATTGCAGCTATAAGATATTTTATCTGCAGTTGGCTAAGAATTCTACCTCTTTCCACTCTAATTTTTCCACCATCATACTTACTCTCATATCAGATGACATTTGAGTGGCAGAAGGTATTTTGGAACTCAGTTTCTAAAAATTGAGTTAAGAATATGTCTGGTCTGGGTTTAGTAGGATGTATACAGATGGTATGCAGTTACTTCTGTATAAATTTAAGTTATTTAGTTGCTTTCATGTAGGAATGGCTTCCAAGAATACTCCCACTTCTGCTGCATTACTTTATAATGTGACACAAAGTTACAGGTTCAGAGGACATACTATGAAATAAAATATGTCCTACAGTGGCTAGTTGGAAAGTTTGTGGCTAGATGAAGAGAAGCAAGATCTGAAACATATGGTCTGAAACTATACATGAAACCTTTCTCCAATCATTAAATACAATTATTAGCAGAGAATTTAGATCTTGTCAACACTTAGTCAGAACAGAAATTCTCTTTTATTGGCAAATACTCAATAATGTATATACTGTTGTAAATACACAACAAAAATTTTTTTCTGTTTTGATGGAAACCATGCAAAATAGAACTTATCAGAATTTCTTTCTGTGTTTGTAGTGCTGCATTTGTAGCAGTACTACAGTGAGTTTGCCCGGGTGTGGGGATGCATGTTTTATAAATTCCATTTATTTATCAATAGTAAAAATAAACTGGTCAAACCATGCTAGAAGAAAGCCTGAATTATTTTTCTATTATCACTATCAAAATACCATTTTGTAACAATTACAAAATTGTTATCACATATAGAAGCAGTCAAAGAAATATGCAACCAAATATAGAAAAAATTAAAGAAACATGACATGCACTTAATAAAAATATTAACTTTCTGCTATTTGTCAGATTTGAAATTTTTGTTAATTCTGATTTCTTTTCTTATATTAAGTAGATACTCATTTTTGTACCTTATTTTACATTCTTAATTTTGCATTTTTAAAAAGAGCTCACAAAAGCTTCAGGTTTCATAAAACTTGGATCCACTCTGGCTCATGGAGCTAATACGGAATAGAAGAGGAAGAACCAGCAAAGCCGAATGAGAGAGGGCATCCAGAGAACCAGAAGAGATTCTACAGAGTGCGGAGTCCCAGGAGTCAAGGTAAGAGATAATAGCTAAAGGAAGGTTGAGGATCAGCAGAGCAAATGCCACAGAGTATTTAAAACAGCAAGAGGACTGAGAGTGTCGTCTAGTTTAATTTACGTAGAGGTCATTGGTGACTTAAGGATGAGAGTGTCAGTGTAGGATAAAACTAGTTTTGCTTGGATTGAAGAGTGATTGAGGGTGTTTACAAAGAGGGCAGAGTCACAGCAAACAGGTAGACAATGAGGCCAATTCAGGGAGATAGAAGATTCAAAGAAGCTGACATTAGATAGATTTGTATGTGGTTCAGTTATAAACATACTGATTTTGAAATGTCTTTATTTTCAATGCCTAATTTGATGGCTGGTATAGAAGTATTTGTGCATGGGTTATGATTGACTATGATTTCAATAGATTGCTATTCCTATATCCTGGTTTTTCTTTTTCATAGGGTTGATAAACACTAAACTTGATAATTGAAGGAAGTAATGCCATTGCCAGAACATCTTATAAAAGCAAGTATGTCCACCTACCCCAAATGAGGCAGAATTGTCTAATGTAGGAGCATAGTCTGGGGCATAGTCTTAGAGCTGTGCGACTCAGGTTATGCCTAATGCTCCTTCTTGACCCTTGTTTTTCTACTTATTAGTTGTTTCACCATACCTATTTCCTAGATTGGTAAGGATAAAATGAAATAATGAATTTAAATTGTAACACAGTGCTAGGCTTACCATCAGTAGTGGTCAATAAATTCATTCCTTCCAGCCCAACTTAGAGAAGTATGAGGTACTTCAGAGAAGCTCCATGCTCCTTCCATGTTCTTTGGGTCTCGGAATTTTAAAAGCATTATTTAAATAGAAAACACATATAACCTATTTTCACTTGCTATAATGTAATCAGAAATGCAACACAGCAGGGCATTGGGGATGATCTAGCCTGGCAGTGAAACAGAAATTGGTGAATAAAGGTAAACATCAGAAAAAGTCTACATAAATTCCAGTATAAGAAGAGCAAGTGAGCCAAGGGAAAGTGAGAAGTATAGGGAAAAGAAATAATGAGTCATATTACCAAATAATGCACAGAATCAATTTCCCTTATAGAGAAACATAATGGCTAAAGCAATGTCTTGATAAAAAGACATGATTTAATTACAAAGAAGATTTTTTCTGCTAGCAATTCCAGTTAGCAAGATATAAAATATATCGACCTACAATGTTGACATTTTCAAATAGATTTGTGTATCAATGAGAACATTTAAATCCAGTCTTTCCAATTTTATACAACCTTTTTTTTTTGCATACAGTTAGATCTTTATTTAATTTTATCAAATAATATATAAATTCTCCACATATAATTCTGTGATTAATGTTACTGAGATTAGGAAACAGATGAGTACCTAAATATCTAAAAGTAGCTAAATAGAATGAACCCTGCTACAGTATGGGTACCCATCATCTTTATGGGCACCTAATGAGAATGTTTGACTCCATTAGACTTAACAGCATTTTACCATAAATCATAACTGGTGTTGAGAAAATCTAACGCAGTTCTTGGGCAGTCTATGGTAGATCTTAAATAGTTGTTAACAACAACAACAACAAAAATGTAATCATGCTGAGAAAAACAACAGTAGTTACTTGGATCAGTATTTTTAGATTTATTTTCAATTCATGTCATGTGATTGCAATTGATTTATTGCAGAATTTATACCTGACATTTCATGCTCTACAGGGTAGTGCTTGAACTATTATCTGGCCTCTTTCAGTGATCTCCATCATTGCCATGTGATTTTATAAAAGAAAGTTTTATTTTCATACCATTAGTGGCAATATAAAATTGGTATAAACTCTTTGGAGATCAAATTGTTTTTTTAATTCTATGAATTAAAAAAACGAATGTAGCCTTTAATTAAGCAATTTCACTTCTAGAAACGTATACCTGTACAAAGTTGAATGGACAAGGATAATCAAGGCTGTGTTGTTTTTAAGCTGAAAAACTGGCAACAATCTAAATGTCCATAGGAAAGGTTACATGAATTATGATGCACCTTTGCTGGTAGAATTCTCTGCAGTCTTTTTTTGAAAAAAATGAGGTAGTTTCTGTATTGCCACAGGAAGGCCTTCAAGGAAACTAAGTGGAAAGAGAAAGTTTAAATTATTATAATAGTAATTATTATTATTATAAACTTGTAAAGCATATATTATGTTTTAAGCACTTTATCTTTATTAACCCATTTAATTCTCATCACCACTCTGAGGTTGGTACTATTGTTATCTCCATTTTATAGATGAAGCACAGTGATGTCAAGTAACTTGCTCAAGGTCACAAAACTAGTGTCAGAGGCAGTGTCTGGCTTGAGGATCAGTGTTCTTACCCAGTTCTTTCGATGTATGTTAAAAAATGTATGAAATATGTTTGTAAATATATGTGCGTATAGGTATATGCATTTGTATATATATGTATTTGTGTATGCAAAGAAAATGGCTCTAAGCATAGCTTCCAAACTGTTAGCAGTTGCTTTCTCTCAAGAGTGGTTTGGGGTGGGAGAGGAAGAGGGTAAGATACTTATGGGATATATCTTTCTTGTTTGTTTACTTTCGTTATGAAGGACATTAACATTTTTTAAATAATTTTTTTCGCAAGGGATGTTTCTCAAAATATAACTTTCTAGTTATTTTTCTTCACTGCTAGCAGTTAAGAAAGAAACCTGGTCATTTTCCTTTTTGTTAAAAAGTTATACTATTCATTGGTTCACTCAGCAAAAACATCTAAACTGTGCTGGGTATCCTTGTCTCAGTCCTCAAGAAATTCACTGTCTACTGGAACAGACCGACATTTAAACGTGTAATTCTAGACCCATTATAAAGGGGATGCACAAAAATGGGGCAGGAGGGGCACAAAAGAGAGATGTCAGTTCTATTGAGAGCAATATGAAGGAAGGTACCCAGAGAGAAGGTAATGTTTTGCCTAAATATTGAAAGAAAAATAAGAGTTCTTCAGGAGATGGGAGGGAGGAGAGAGAAAAAGCAGCCCAGATAGAGAGAATAATGGGAGTAAAGACACAAAAGGAAAGACATTGGACCCACACTGTTCTTCAGGGGACTGGGCGTAGTTTGACTTAGCTGCAGCTTAGGGAGAGAAAGACGAGGAGTGCCTCTGGAGATGTGGGCAGGAGCCATATCACCTAAGCCTTGTGGGCCATGTTAAGAATTTCATCCCGTGTGCCAGTTATTCCTAAGGAGCATTTGAAGAACAGGTATTCCCAGAATAAGTAAAAGATATAGATGAAAAGATATACATGCAAAGAAATATTATCCAGTCTTAAAAATGGAAAGACATTCTGACACATGCTACATGTGGATGAACTTGAAAACATTATGCTAAATGAAATGTCACACACCAAAAGACAAATATTGTATGATTCCTCTTAGTTACCTAGAATAGTCAGATTCATAGAGATGGAAAGTAGAAGTTACTAGAAGATGGGGGCAGTTATTTTTAGTGGTTTCATAATTTCAGTTTGAGATGATAAAGTTCTGGAGATGGGTAGTGGTGAGAGTTGCACAACAATGTCAGTGCTCTTAATGTCAATGAATTGTACACTCAAAGTCTTAAAATAATAAATTTTATTATGCATATTTTACCATAATAAAAACATGTTAAAATGGTAAATTTTTGTTATGTATATTTTATCACAGTTTAAAAATACATAAAAGATATAGACAAAATAGGGAAATAATTCAACGATCTTTTTCTTTCCTGATATTAAAGTAGATGTCATTTCTTTGCTTAAGCTGATAATGATTTGTTTCTGTTATATACTGGCTTACCATTTACTGAAAACTAGCTCTGTGCTAGCTTTACATCCATAGACATGATGAGGCGATGCAGGCTCAGAGAGCTCAACCACCCGTCCCAAGAGCACACAGCCAGTGAGGGTGCATTTCTAGGAAACCTAGAATTGGAACTCGGCCCCAAACACCTTTCTCTTTCAACAGTCCACAAGGTGCTCGATTATCTTGCTACTTTTTTGGCTATGTCAACATTTTTCTTAAAAAATTCACCCTTGTTCTTCAAAGAATGTATTGTTTAGCGTTTTTCCGGGTTCAGTAAATGTAAACAAGCCTGAGGCAATGCTGAATGAAATGCTGAGTGTTTATTTTTGATCCACATCTATATTTTTGAAGAGCCCTCTACAAGAGCCCAAAAGAGCCTTCAAAATGAGTCTAGACTCACACAACCTAACTACTCAGCCAGCCACCTGCTCCAGAATCGGGGGCGGGCGGCGGGTCTGTACTTTCGCTGCGGCTGTTATCTGAAGAATACGGCTTCCAGCCTTCCAGCTTTCCCAGGTGCGCGGCCCAAGAGAGAACTTGCGCCGCTCGCGCGCAGGCGCGAGGTGGCGGCGTCGCTCTGCAGCTCTGCTTTGCCGCTTGACGTTCCGGTGTTCCCGAGTGGTTGTCTTTTGGGTTCTCCCTCTCGGCCCGCACTCAGGGTCGCCGGTTCTCCTCCTCCTCCAGGCCCTCCCCAGCCCCTGCCCAGGCCCAGCCCGGCGTTGCCCCTAACCTCTGACCCCGCGCTGCACAATGCCCGAGCAAAGTCCCCGGGGGTGTGAACCCCGGCGTTCCTGCCTCTGGGCGGGGACGGGCGGCGTTCGTGCGGGGAGTCGAGGAGGCAAACGCGCAGCCGGCCCAGTCCGCCGGTTCCGGCCCCGCGAGTACTTCGCGAGCGACCAGCGCAAGCCCCTGCGCCCCTGCCGCCAGGCCCTGCCGCTGCTCCCCTCCCAGGCCGCCGCCGCCGCCGCAGCAGCCATGGCGGAAGTTCATAGACGTCAGCATGCCCGGGTTAAAGGAGAAGCCCCCGCGAAATCCTCCACACACAGACATGAGGAGGAGCTGGGGATGGCGTCGGCCGAAACGCTGACCGTGTTCCTAAAGCTGCTGGCTGCTGGCTTTTACGGCGTGAGCTCCTTCCTCATCGTGGTGGTCAACAAGAGCGTGCTCACCAATTACAGGTAGGGCCGAGGCGGCGGCAGCCGAGGCCGCGGAGAGGAGCGGGCGGTGGCGCGGGGCGCAGGCTCCTTGGACTTCGGCTTCCAAAGTTAAAGCTGAACAAAGTTGGGCGGCAGCCGAGGAGGGCGGGAGGTTGACACACGGTCCAGGCGACAGAGCGCGACTGGGAGCGTCTGCCCGGGGTGGGGGTCCGGCTCCCGGCGCGGAGCTCCGGACGGCCCGGCGCGCGCTGGGGGCCGCGCTGGGAAAGCGCCTGCTTGCGGCGCCCGCGCGGTGCAGCGCCCTGGAAACCCTACCCTTCGGAGCGCTGGAGGGAAGTTGCTTCGTGACTTGTTGGACCCTGTGCATGCCAGGCAGGGAGCAGAGCGAGGGATGCCCTCCCTTCTCCGCAGCCTGGGCCGGGGCTTCAGCGTTCCCCGTTCGCTGACAGCCTCAGGGGCCGTGCTCATCTCAAGCCCTTTTAAAATGATCCTGGTGCTGTCACTGGGACACCGAGGCAGAAGCATTTCTGCTTTAAAGGTGTGAAACCGTTGAAGAGACCCGTGTCTTCACTTCCTTCAAAAATCCGTTGCTGGCAGCGGACTGAAATTGTAGCATCGGACAAGATGAGGCAAGTGGCCGCCTGAGGCTACAGGATCAGTGGGTTGGGTTGCCTGACAACTCGCAGCGATTTTGCTCACCGATTTTCACTTGGATAAGGGTCTGACATTGGTGTGTTTTGTATCAAAATGCATTTTAAAGTTGCAGATATGCAAGTTGAATTCACTGAGCTACATTTGAGTTTTTCTGAACCTTTTTTTTCTCTCTGCCGTTTTGTAGATTTCCCTCTTCGCTATGTGTTGGACTTGGCCAGGTTAGTTGAAATCTTCGGCGTTACGTGGTTTATATCGTTAGAACTTCTGTGTGTGTCTTTATATGTAGAACAGTGAATCTGTGTTCTCTGTGTACAGATGGTGGCTACAGTAGCAGTTCTCTGGGTGGGAAAGGCGCTCAGAGTAGTCAAGTTTCCTGACCTTGACAGCAATGTACCTCGGAAGGTAAAAAAAAAAAAAAAAAAAGACTTTATTTTGTGAAAAGGATTCACTATTTTTTTTATCAGTGCTTTGCATATTTGAAAACCAGGCTCGATGTCACCAAATCCAGAGTGTGTATAATAAAGAAAAATCCCTAAGAAATCATATGATTTGTTTTAATGAACATTTGGGAGGGGGGTACAACTCTTGCATTTTCTACATTCATCAAATCTAGCCAGTGTATTCTGCATTATTCTTTGGGTTTATTTTCTTATTGTTCTGTCTGCATTGCTTAATTCCATATGAAGATGAAAGGCTTTCGCTGACATTAGAGCTGTGGGCTAACATGTTATCATATTTTAAAGCAAATGATATGTCTGTTTCACAAGGTTTGATCATATTTGTATTTCTGTTTTTATTTTTCCCTCCATGCTTCCCTCTCTCTTTCTGCCATAGTAGTGCTTTTTATACAAGGATAATGTTTGGGCACTTTGTGGGGGCCAAAATTGTATATGTGAACTAATCTTATGTTGTAAGGGGAGAGAATTTGATCATATAAACAAAACTTTCTATTTGAAAGGATCTTGTTTTAGCTATCTCTATTATTGAATTATGTTATCCCTTTTTAAATTTTCTAGACGTTTCCACTACCTCTACTATATTTTGGGAACCAAATCACGGGACTGTTCAGCACAAAGAAACTGAAGTATGGATAACTTTATTTTACTAGTGAGGTTAATATATTCTTAAAATTGTACTTGAATGTCAAATATTTAACACATTGTTATTGATTCTGAAAAAAAGTGAAAGGACCAGAAAGCTTGTTTCTAAATAATGATTACGCTAAAGGTTTTAGTTTAAGCTTTTTAAACTTAGAAAAAGAGGAGTTTTATGTTTTTATCCCTCAGTTGATTATAGAAGTCTTAAAATGTTATTAAATACTGTGGTTGAAGATTTTCACTATTTTTCCAGACCCATAGTAGTGAAGGATGTGTGCTAGGCTTTTGGGACTTAAATCCTTTAATACAATTAATAAATACTGTATTTTTGGCAAATACCACAAGCAAAATTAGAGGGTGGGAATGAGAACTTTTGTAGTTTTCCTTTTAACATGAGGTAGTTAAAATAACATCAAATAGAACCCTAATTCAAATATGATTAATATTCTTTCCATGGCTGTATAACTGTAAGGCGACATATTCACTTTTAAAAAGAAGTGATAGCTCTCTACTATGTGACAACACTGTCTTATTATCCTCTAACCTCCCAGTCCTTGGCTTCTCCACTTAAGGAGTATAGTATGTATTAGGTGTATGTGACATTACCATTATACACATAGAGAAGTCAATTAACATATGGCTTCACTTCCACGTGAGCTAAACTCCTGGCGTACTGGATTATTATAAATACAACGGGGAGAACTTTGAGGATCAGAGACAAAGTGTTTTTCATTTCCTCTTTCTTCAGACCCAAGAAACCTGACAGAATGACCATGATGATCTCTTTGGGGAGAGTTCCATGGAAGTCAAATTTATCATGGGTGTGGCATCCTTTTCCATCTCATAACCCACTGGGAAAGAAGTGCAGACCTGCTGCAAAAGTGCTGCTTTATAGAGTTTGCTCTTTTTCATCCATTGTCATCTGTCCATTCATCTGTCCATCCATTCATTCACACCCTGTATTTGATTGCCAGCTAAATATAAGGCACTTTGCAGTGATATGAGATATATTCATAAATAATTATTGCAAGAGGCTGTGTTTGATCAGTGCAAGCAAAACTCTCTGGGAAATTTAAAGGAAGACAAAATTACTTCCACAAAAGGACAATTAAGGAATGTTTCATGGGATAAGATTATCATAGATGTGATTTGGAGAATTTGGAGTAGGAAGGAAGGTCAGTAAGGAAAGGAGAAAGAGGTCATTTTCTCTTTAAGACTAACGTGGTTACTCTTCTGGCTGTTTACATAATAAAAGGTAAAATAAAGTAGCTGTAAGTAGTCTTTGATAATATATAAATGATCTCTATCATTTTATAGTTAGTTTGGTGTTTCTCACTTCTAGTAGTTTTATAAAAGCAACCCTTTCAGGCTTTCAAATAATAATTATTTCTTGAGAGAAATAAGGGTTTAATTTAATCACAAATTAATAAGCATGGAATTTCTAGAATGGAAGGAAAAGATTAGCATATTTTAAAATACTGATTTGGAGAGTCTTAAAATAGTTAATAAATTATTAAACTTTATTTTACGTAATTATGTTTTTTATTTTGCAGCTTGCCAATGTTTACAGTTCTGAGAAGGTTCTCCATCCTGTTTACAATGTTCGCTGAAGGAATTTTACTCAAGTGAGCTAAATTTCTAATATATCTAGTCTTTAAAAAATTTAAATCACCTTGGAAAGGTACCCAGCATAATAATTGTTTAATAATGTTAAAATTACTTGTCTTGCTTTTACTTTATCTTTTGGAAAGTTTAAGTAAATTTCTCCCTTTGCTGTAGGAATTGATAGTTTATGGGAGCAGTAGTTGGGAAAGTTATGAATTGGAGTTAGAAACCTGTCTGAACATGACATATCCTTTGGAGAATTCCTATAGCTACTGTTGCCACTGGTAGAAGCCAGGTCAGAAACATCAGTATAGGTATTAAATAGTGTTCCTGTCTTGGCAACTTTTGCTACAAATGTGTGTGACCTTTTTCTACTAAAAGAAATTTTGATTTGCTAAAATTTAAACAGTGGCAAACGATAGAAAAAAATGAGTATCCTTATTTAGATAACAAAATAAGTTTTTGCTTCATCAAAGGGGTTCTTTTAAATATTTAGTTACTTGGAAACATTTAAAATGTGATATTTTTTTTATAGCTTTTTCCAAAGAAAACATATTTTTTTTGCCTATGTTGTAAAATGTGTCTGTGAATAAAACCACATGTATATGTTTAAAAAAATTTTTTTTTGTAGGAAGACTTTTTCTTGGGGTATTAAGATGACTGTATTTGCAATGATTATTGGAGCCTTTGTAGCTGCCAGGTAAGATGTGAGCCTGTATATACCTATGAGCACATTAGAAATTTTCAATAATTATTGATAATAAATGATCAATTACCAATAAGAATTTTTTATAGGCTAAATAAGAATCATGTCTTTGAAAAGCATCCAAAAGACTTCAAAAGTTAAATCTTTTTGGCCGTGTTAAGATCAAGGCTGGCAAAATCAGATTCTTGAGATTCTTAAAAATTAAATTCATGTAATTTAGGATTTATTATGCTACCTTCTACTTACTGAGCAAGCGCAGACTACGTGCCACACAATATGTTCAACATTTTACACTTAATTATGTGTTCACGACAACTCTGAAAGGTATAGATGTAATTTTCCCATTTTATTTTATTTATTTTTTTAACACCTACAGCACCTGGCATTTAATTTTCCCATTTTATACTTGAGGAAACGAAAACCCAAGTTCAATAACTTATTCAAGGTCACATAGCTCCTAAACAGCAGAGCTGCCTGGAGTTTGAATCTGTGCCTGACTCCAGAGGCTATGTGCTTTTTTTATAGACCATTCGGCATTCTTTTACTTTGTATGCTGCTAAAGAAAATAACGTCTCAGAAAAGGCCGATGATAATGAATTAGTTGCCTTGTGGCATAATAAATAATAGAATTGCTTTATTTGGCCTCACTTAAGATATATCACAGATGCCATAACTTAGCCTGTTAAATTATTAAAGCTTTTCCATTGTCCTTAAGTTTTTGTTTTCAAATGGATAGAGGAAATTGTATACCCAAAGACTCAGAAAATAAAAATGATGGCTAGAAGCCTTCTACAATATTTTGCTCAGCCCAGGACTTAGATTTGCTAATGCCACAAATTCTTCCTGACATACATTTTTCATTTGGGAGTTCCAGTGTGCCTCTTGGATTGGCTCTTTTACTTTCATCATATCCCTGTGGTATAGATGGGGGAGGAAAATATAAGTTAAATTCTATTCCACCCTAAATCTTCAACTGAAATTTCATGTTTTAAAAAAAAGGTGTTGGGGGTATAGAATAATTGGTTATTAGAATTTCGTTATATAGCTAATGGCTTTCTCTCTAGCTGTTATTGCCCCCTTGGAGAAAAATTCTATCTGAGTATCCTACCTTTCTATTTGAGGTGCTCTACTAGTCTTTGAAGCATTTCCTCGAAGTTGGTGGCATTCAAAATTGAACCAAACAACAGAGGTTCTTCAGGGGTAACTCTGGCCTGCAAAAAGTTTCTGAGGAAGATTATTGTTTGGACTATCCTTGTCCAATTAGAACCTTTTACTTGGGAAAGAGATTGGGAGGAAGGAAGTCTGAAGTTAGGGGTTTGTCAGGCTGCTTGGAAGAAAGGGTGTGTGTGCATTTAGGCTAGTTCTACCTAAAGTTCCATAGAAGTCTTGTTCCATGTAGTAGTAGTTTAGATACAAATATATAGTGTCTTTACAAAATCACAGAATGTGAGACCACTGTTTGGCTAGGGTGCTAAAATATGATTAAGGCATACTTTTCTTAGATTTTCATTTTTTCTGTTCAATTTAATTCTTATCTCTACTAAATACTAGAAAACTTCAGTTTCCTTAATCCTGGTAATTATACCTCATGGGCACATTATTTAAGTATTTGAGGTCTTACTGTGTGCTTGAACACTGTTGTAACTTGATCTCAGAATTAACCATGATCCACACTTCAGAAATTTCACCTACTGGCCCAACCACCTGTGCAAGATAGCCTTAACTTTTGTGCAAACCTTTGGAAAAAGACATGTTAACAACTCATCCTTTTTGTTTCCTTACCTGTGAAATTGAGCTCAGATGCCTCCTGCCTGCTTCAGATGTATTATAATAGTGAATTTGGTTGCTTGTTGTTGTCATCTGACTTTGAATTCAGAGCAGTGTGCTATTAACTGACATGATGGTTTATTGCTAATGATTTTAGGTGTTAGCGCTTCTCATTTTTGAAGACTTGTTGAGTATAAAATTGCAATTTGTAACTAGGAATCAAGAAATGCTAATAGTAGATAAAATGTCTAATGATCAGTTACCTATATAAGAATATGTTCTTGCTAGTACTGTAGTTCAGACCTATTTAAAATTAAGTGCATGTTCTTTAAATGAAAGTTGTGTTTAAAGTGTTGCTTATGTTTTGCAGCTCTGACTTGGCATTTGATCTGGAAGGATATGTTTTTATTCTGATAAATGATGTCCTGACAGCAGCAAATGGCGCATATGTAAAACAAAAATTAGATTCGAAGGTAGGTAGCAAGCTAAAGCTTAAGACATGTTTACTGATGTTGGGAAT